TGGCAGGAGTTGTGCGAGAAGTGTGTCAGTACCATCCGGTTGTGTATTGCAGACTCTGTCGTTAATTGTGTTATTGACGAGGAATCTCCGGCGGCGATATGGGAGAAGTTGGAAAAGCTGTACATGGCGAAAAGCTTGACCAACAAGCTTCTTTTGAAGAGGCGGTTGTATCGGTTGCGGATGGAGGATGAGGACACCTAGGTTGGACACATGAATGTGTTCAATGGTTTAATAGACGAGCTGAAACGGTTTGATGTTAAAATCAGTGAGGAGGATCAGGCATTGCTTCTCCTTAATTCTCTCCCTAATTCCTATGAGGTTTATGTGGATACCATACTGTGCGGCAAGGACACAATTACCTTGGAGCAGGCACAATCAGCTTTGTTGTCGTTTGATGCGAGGAGAAAAGACAAAGCTGGGGTACGGAGTGACGATGCAGTCGCGGCAATTGCTCATGGTGGTGGGAGAGGTCGTTCGTCTATTAGGGACAATAAATCAAAGCACGAGAGGTCTAAGTCCTAGAACGCATCTAAGAACGAGGTGCGTTGTTACAAGTGTGGCGAGCTCGGGCATATTAGGAGGGATTGTCCTAATAAGCGTGAGGGGAAAAATGATGCCAACTTGGTTCGAGATGGAGAGACTGGTAGTAGTTCTCTCGGAAATGGAACTGACGAGTTTTTTTTAAGGTGCATGAATTAGCATTTGGAAAGACAAATGTGGTAATTGTGAGTTATTGCATTTGGGAGGCTTTTCATTTGTCTTGGGTGGCAGTTTTTTTTTCTAACTTAATGTTTTTCTCCTATATTTAAAGCCTTGCATAGGCTTTGGAAAAAGGTGTGGGGGGCTGGTACGTGCAAGAAAATAAAAGAAACAATTCTAGCCATGTGTGCTCTTTTATGAGAGAGGTTGTACAACTTGTTTTTTCATACAATATTTTAGGGGTTTTCTTTGTACCAAAATATTGTATGTGGGTCTAGGATTGGTGTTGTAATCCTTGACGGTTAAGTTGTACTTGCACTATTTTTTATAGTGGTGGTTTTACCTCTGTAAAGAGGGTTTTTCCGGTTTCAATAATCTTTGGTCTCATCTCTATTTTTTTCGGCTTGCGGTTTCTTTGTTCTTCGATCGGCTACTAGTTTGTTTCTTTCGTTGCGTGGGAAGTTTTGTGTTAAATTTCCCAACAAAGTGGTATCAGAGCCCAGGTTCTTGCGGGCGGGAGTAGCGGACTGTGCAGTGTGGAAAAATCTCGGTGTGACGGTGTAACTAAGACCAAGACCAAGAAAGAGGATCTGCAGGTGGTGCCTTGTGTCGAAAGTCTTCCCGACGAGAGGAGGTCGGGCGGCGCGTCCCGTGAAGTTATAGCCACGGCGGTACAAGATGATTTGGCGGATCAAATGGTGTAGCCCAGCGAAGGAAAGATCTGCGGTTCGAGCCTTGCGTCGAAAGTCTTCCCGACAGGAGGTCGG